TTAAAGTGCTGCCATTTGTTAAGACACTCTAAGCTGCTGTTGAAACAAAAACACCGCACTGATTTTTTCTCTCTCTGCTGGGGAATATACTGCGAGAGAAACCGTCTCGTCCCTGCTTCCCTCCTGCAATGGAAAAAAAAATTGGTCTCAACCCTCCATTAGGGAACACTAATTTTATTTTTGATTTGGGGTTGGTGGGAGGGAAGCTTCCAGTTTATCGTGCCTGTGAGCTTTCTTGGTAAGAAATCTCATTTATGTCTGAGAGATTTCTCTGTAGGAAGAGCCCTGCACGATCAGTTCACAGACCCATCTAGGTCAGCACTCTTGTTAAGTTGTGGGCAAACATAGCAGACGACACAGCGATTCCTTCAAAGCAGCTCTTCTTTATTTTGATGTCAGAACAGAACTAAGCTGAGGGGCTCAGTCAGCCTGCTTATATAGAGCTCCAGAACAATGTAACTGTTGCCATTTTCTAAAACTATCCAATCACTGAACGTCACTTTTCGATCCTTCATTTGCATACAAAACTATCCAATCACTGAATGTCACTTTTCGATCCTTCATTTGCATAACTATCTACGTTATCCCCCTGCTGGCCCAGGCTGAGAACTTCAGTACATAACAATTCTGTCCTCATCGTCAGTGATGTAGCATGGGGGAGGGCCACAAGGGCAGTTGCCCCGGGTGCAAAATTGTTAAAGGTAAAGATAAAGGGACCCCTGACCATTAGGTCCAGTTGTGACCGACTCTGGGGTTGTGGTGCTCATCTCGCTTTATTGGCTGAGGGAGCCGGCGTTTGTCCGCAGACAGCTTCCAGGTCATGTGGGTCATGTGGCCAGCATGACTAAGCCGCTTCTGGCGAACCAGAGCAATGCACGGAAACGCCGTTTACCTTCCCGCCAGATCGGTACCCACTGCGGGAGGCAGTGGGAGACAGGAGTGCCTGGCGTGTTCTGGTTCATGGGGTCACGAAGAGTCAGACATGGCTAAACGACTAAACAACAACAACAAGGAGTCTCAAAGTGGCTCACAATCTCCTTTCCCTTCCTCCCCCACAACAAACACTCTGTGAGGTGAGTGGGGCTGAAAGACTGCAGAGAAGTGTGACTGGCCCAAGGTCACCCAGCAGCTGCATGTGGAGGAGCGGAGACGTGAACCTGGTTCACCAGATTACAAGTCCACCGCTCTTAACCACTACACCACACTGGCTCCACACTTTAGCCTTGTCCCCCAGTGTTGCACAGCTCCCTCTGCCTTGATGAGACATAAGGTCTGAAGTGGGAACTTACTTGATGCATGGAGATTATTGATGCACTATATAGAACCCCTGGCAGAGGATGATTGCAGAGGAAGTCATGTGGGGTTGTTGTTGTTGTTGTTGTTGTTGTTGTTGTTGTTGTGTGTGTATGCATGTGTGCATGACTATGGTTCCCCTTTCACTAAGCTTGCCCACTTCACACAGGTCATTGTTGAAGACGGCGACAGGTGTGTGTCGCTCTGTGTTGCATGGTAGACAATCACCTCTGCTACATCTTGTTTTCCTTGTTATGCAACATTTAGCCACCTCAGAAATAAAATCAGGTAAGGGAGGGAGAAGCCATACAGGGATTAAACCTGCAACCGTGGCATTTTCACACAGGAAGGGGGGTGTGTAATTTAAGGAGAAGGCTACCTGTTTGGAATACAGAACTTCTAAAACCTGGCATTTCCAAGTCGGAATGGAAGTAGCTTGGCATGTCTATTGTAGACGATCTTGAGTTAGATGGATCAGTAGTCTGATTCAGGATGAGCCAGCTCCCTATGTTCCAAAATAGTCTCTCTTTTCAGAAATTAAACAAGCACTTCAGGGCCTTCAGATGGGAGGTGACATAAAAGTGGTTTATTTCTATGTGTTTTCTTTTATTGGTTCTGCAATAGCACATGATCTAAGGCCAACGTCATAGAGGCACAAATAAAATTTAACTTAGCGTACGTGGAATAGCCAGTAGGCAAGAATATCTAAAAGGGCATAAAAAGCGCTAATGAAGCATAAAAGATCATTATGACTTCAGCAGAAGTGGCACCAAAGGACAATCACCTGAAGTGTAAAGACACTTCCAAACTTGTTATTGCAGATAAACAAGTAGACAGAACATATGGATCAACTAATAAACCTCCCTGTGATAAAACCCAGGGAGTTGTAAGGCCTTCCTAGAGCACTTCCCCTGCCCAGGTATTGAGCCTAATATGTCTCATGCTACACCAAAGCTGAAGAAAGCAATTTTCAGCTAAACATTAGAGGAACAGGATGAAATTCCTACTTCTTTGGTCCATGGAACCTGCTGCATCCCTGATGTGCATGAATGATCTGCCTGCACAAATAGAAAGGGAATTTGTTCTCATGAAGCACTGAAACTAACAGATGTTTTATAATTTGTGCCACTTATTTAATTCAGTGGAGGCTCTTCCCTTAGGGCAACTGGGGTGCTGCCCCACCAGCCTTGATCTGCCTTCAACCAACCCCCACCTTCCTTCTTACTTACATCCATTCCAGGTAACACCATTGCTTGTCAGCTTCTTCCTAAGTCTCACCTTTGATATTGCAGAACTCAACAAGGAGAGAGGTGGGTGCAAGATTACCACTGGCTCCACCTATTGATGTCCCCTGTTCTACCAACGAAGCAGGGACAGCATTTCTACTACTGGTTGGGAACCCAGGATCCACTTGACATAGCTATGCAGGCTGCATGTAGTGCAGCTTTTTGGGAGGTGGGTGGCGCTGCGGTCTAAACCTCTGAGCCTCTTGGGCCTATGGATCGGAAGGTTGGCGGTTTGAGTCCACATGACGGTGGTGAGCTCCCGTTGCTCTGTCCCAGCTCCTACCGACCCAGCAGTTTGAAAGCATGCCAGTGCAAGTGTGGCAGGAAGGTAAACAGCGTTTCCATGCAGCTCTGGCTTCCGTCACGGTGTTCTATTGTACTGGAAGCAGTTTAGTCCTGCTGGCCACATGACCCGGAAAGCTGGTGGACAAACGCTGGCTCCCTGGGTCTGAAAAGTGAGATGAGCGCCATACCCCATACCTGCCTTTGACTGGACCTAACCATTCAGGGGTCCTATACCTTTTAGTGCAATAGGTTTTCTTTTCTTTTTTAAAAAATATTTTTATTAAACAATTTCAGCATAACAAAGTATCAATCCACATAATCAATTACATTATTTCCCCCCCTTTTCTACTGACAACCTTGGCATCAAAGAATCGTAGGTGATAGGGTCCCAAGGGTCATCAAAACCCAACCCCTTGCAATGCAGGAATCTCAGCTAAAGCATCCAAGACAAATGGCCATCCAACCTCTGCTTAGAAATCTCCAAGGAAGGAGAATCCACCACCTTCTGAGGGAGATCGTTCCACTGTCAAACAGCTTTCACTGTCAGAAAGGTCTTCCTGATGTTGAGTTGGAATCTCCTTTCTTGCAACTTGAAGCCATTGGTTCCAGTCCTGCCCTCCAGAGCTTGCTCCTTCTTGCTTCATGAGTCCTGCCTCTTTCTAGACACACAAACTACAGTGGTACCTTGGGTTAAGAACTTAAATCTGTTCTGGAGGTCCGTTCTTAACCTGAAACTGTTCTTAACCTGAAGCACCACTTTAGCTAATGGGGCCTCCCGCTGCCGCCGCACAATTTCTGTTCTCATCCTGAAGCAAAGTTCTTAACCCGAGGTACTATTTCTGGTTAGCAGATTCCGCAACCTGAAGCGTCTGTAACCCGAGGTACCACTGTATGACTTTTGAGACCCCTTTCAACGCCATGATTTCAGGAGACCAAACAGCTGGCAACGTAGCTGAATTCTCCCATCCTTGCAGGTGGTTCCTAAGCCATAGCAGATGGCCAATGAGGTTGCTCAGGTAAGAGCTTTGGCATCTGTGCCTCATTTCCATTCCCTTCCTTACTGCTGAGGGGTGGAATATGATTCCAAGACAGTGCTTTCCAAAACCTTGATACCCGGGGCGCATGATTTATTTCCTGCATTAAATTTGGAGGCATGCTTACCCCCATTACACTTAAAACTGTAGGCGTGCGCTTTCTCAGTCACCCTCTAGAAACAGTGGGCAGGCATCCATCCACAGAGAGCCCCAGTAATGTAGCCTCCAAGCATCCTATCTTTCGTTTTCTTCATGGTTGCTTCAGTGAATTCTGATACCTGTCCTTGGAAGAAAGTGCCTGCCCTTCAAAGAGGATTGTGCATTGATGTAGGCTGGAGATACTTTCAAGCGGTTCTGGATACTAAACCCAATACTCTCTAATTCCTGGGAAGATGTGAAAGCCCTGAACCAATCTCTCTTTTCAGGGAACTCTGGGAATCATAGCTCTGTGACTATAACGATTGTTGCTGTTTAGTCATTTAGTCGTGTCTGACTCTTCGTGACCCCATGGACCAGAGCACGCCAGGCACTCCTGTCTTCCACTGCCTCCTGCAGTTTGATCAAACTCATGCTGATAGCTTCAAGAACACTGTCCAACCATCTCGTCCTCTGTCGCCCCCTTCTCCTTTTGCCCTCCATCTTTCCCAACATCAGGGTCTTTTCCAGGGAGTCTTCTCTTCTCATGAGGTGGCCAAAGTATTGGAGCCTCAGCTTCAGGATCTGTCCTTCCTGTGAGCACTCAGGGCTGATATCATTCAAAATGGATAGGTCTGCTCTTCTTGCAGTCCATGGGACTCTCAAGAGTCTCCTCCAGCACCATAATTCAAAAGCATCAATTCTTCGGCGATCAGCCTTCTTTATGGTCCATCTCTCACTTCCATGCATCACTACTGGGAAAACCATAGCTTTAACTATACGGACCTTTGTTGGCAAGGTGATGTCTCTGCTTTTTAAGATGTTGTCTAGGTTTGTCATTGCTTTTCTCCCAAGAAGCAGGCGTCTTTTAATTTCATGACTGCTGTCACCATCTGCAGTGATCATGGAGGCCAAGAGCATAAATATAACAAAAGGAGCAGCTGTAACCTGGTCATCCACACTTTAACTTTATAGCTCAGTTGTTAGAGCATAAGACTCTTAATCTCTGGGACATGGGTTTGAGCCCCATGCTGGTTGAAAGATTCCTGCTGTTACGTATTCAGTGGTCTGTGTTTGCCTGAGCTTGTCTGGACTATGGATTCTGAGCCCCTGTGTTCTGATTTGATACATGATATCCAATCACAGAACATTTCTGGATTTGGGCCTCTGCCATTGGCCCTTAAACTTATGATTCACAGATTGGAAGTTTGGACAGCCAATCACGTTGGGAGTGGGAGTGGCCCAGGCCTTCAGAAACGTATATAAGCAGTTGCTTCGCCCTTGTTGTCCAGTTCTGTTTGTTCAAAAAAAGTTCATGCTGTTGTCACTGTGTCTTGCCTTGTGGGAACCCACCTACACTTCATCTACATTGCAGGGGGTTGGACTAGATAACCCTTGTGACCCATTCCAATTGTACGATTCTACGTTTTTCAAAACAAAACAAATTTTGATGCTGCAGTGACCAGCATTAGTCCTCAAACCTATGTGGACCCAGGTGTTGACACTGGGCATTTTTTCATTTCCCCCAATTATATTTGATTAAGTTTTAATATTTTTAACATGTACAATCGAAACATAATTTTGTCTTTTCTCTTATTCTTGTTGATTACGCACCAGTTTTCCATGCATTTGGTGTTTCTCCCCTTCTGCTGCACCCTATCATCTGTCTACTAAATCATAACCACAATATTATAATCATGATGGGCATCTTTTTCTTTCTTTCTTTTTTTTGCATAATAATATTTATTATTTTCCATACATAGACATAACAAAAGAAAGTTGACAATAATAAAGGAAAAAGAAAAAAGAAAAAGAAAAAAGAATATAGAACATAAAATAGAACAAATCATCACTATACTAACACTTGATTAATTAATTAAAATCCATCTTCATAAACATATTATTTGACTTCCTCAAATCTCTTCCATCTGAATTTCTTAGTAATTATATGTAGCAGTTTTCCAATATCATTATTTCATAAAACCATATCACAGTCATAATCATATTTCCTAACTTTTCTTATCGTACATTTTCTTATTTATTTATTTAATCCCAATTTAGTCCTAGGCCTAATTGATTCTTTCAAGTGATTACATATCTTTAATATTTGGGCATCTTTTTCTTGTTGCCTCCATTACTTGCTGCTCTCTGGGTGATCATTCTCCCTCAAGACTGCAGGCCCCTGGATTTGGCTCCAGGGTCCAGCAATGGCTACACCACTGAGCCCTGGTCCTGGGACATGGCCTCACCATGGCCTCTCATCTGAGAATCACTGCTCTACAAGGATCCTTCATAAATTGGCACCCATGACTGAGAACGAAGAGAGCTAGTCAAAAGGAATTCTGGGCACTGGAAGTTAAGATCAGAACAGGATACAGCAGTAAACCCCGAGACTGCAATGATGAACTGTTTATATCCTCCATAAAACAGAATATATCCATGCTTTTTTCTTCTGGGCATGTGCCAGACTTTGAAGGTGACCGTGAAATTTTGGTGCGCATCCTACTCCTGAGGTGAAAACACAGAGAATTTCTCTGGCAGCATAAGCCACTGGGGAGAAAAAAAACACCCACAGGCCACAAGCCTAACTGCTAATTTAGAACCTGTACATTGACCTATCGCTGGGGGATTTCTTCCTCTCCATACCTTGGGGGAAAGCTAATGGCCACTCAATAAAAAGGGACGAGAAGCAGTAACATCTCAGTTACGTTAGAGCAGGATGTGCTTGCCAGATTCTTATTGAACTACCTTGTCAAATCTCTCTCCCCATCACACACTTCTTCTTTTTTTTATTCTGTTTAATTCATTAACTTCAGATCTCCAATTAGGTGCAAAATCTCCAAAGAAGAGAGTGCAGTTTTAGTGGGCCACTTAGCTCTCTCCTGCTCACTCCGTAAGCACGCTTGTAAAACGGTTAAGGCAGCCTTTGAAATCCGAGCAACGAGGAGACGTTTGTTACAGAACATTAGATCACCAAATGCCAGAGAACAAAGATGCAATCAAGTTGCAAACTGAAAAAGATGGCTCTAGAAGTTTTATTCCTCTTTGGAGAGCTTTGATAATTAATTGCCATCTTTATTTTATTTTATTTTACAGATGAGCTGTTCAAAGGAGAGAGAGCCGTGTGCATCTGGCCTCACTGAATTGTCTGTCCCGAATTTGCGAGCAGAGAGATCGCAGGGGACCATTGCACTGAATTTCTCCGGGGGGAGGAGACATCCTATAACAGTTTCTTGGGGAGGGGCCTCACCACCGGCAGTGTCTGTGTGTAGCACCAATTTATTTCTTTGCGTTTTTGCGTGTTCCATCCAAGGAAAGTACAGAGGATGGTCACACGAGAACGGGGCCTTTTCAGCACTTGCCCCCTTTCTGTGGAATGCCCTGCCCAGGAAGGCATACAAGCAAAAGCACTCAAGCAGGGCCCAGAACAGGCTCGGTAACAGGCATATCCTGGTGAAAAGGGGTGTGGCCTCGGAGGGGACTTTGCCCCAAGGGCCAGATGGAGATCTCCAGTTGGTTGGGAGTGGAAGAGCAGTACTAGGAAACAAAAGAATCTCGATGGTGCATAGAGAGATAGGTGCAATACAATTTCACTAACAATAATACTATTAAGAGTCTTCTATCTTTGTAACAAGGGCAGCTGATGTGGAGCTGCCCAGATGGTGCTGGACTACAGCTCCCATCTTCCCTGACCATCAACCATGCCGGCTGAGACTGATGGGAATTGTAGTCCTGTGACATCCACATCACCAACCCCTGCTATAACATCCTTGATTCTGTGTGTTTGGCTTTCTTTCCAAATCTGCCTGCATATATTATTATATTTCAAAAAGTGAAAATCTGGGCACAAAAGCTGTTGAGCTTTTCTTTCTTTTTTTGGCAGGAGGGGGCAAAGTTGTTGATCATCTCCCCAATGAAGTTTTTATCTATCTTTTTGGAGAATCACCGAAACAACATACTCCCTGGTTTTCCCGGACATTTTTCTGCTTTCCGAAAATTGCGCCCAGACATCATTTGCATCCTGGCTATGTCCGGGAAATTCCAGATGTATAGCAGCCCTATTATTATTATTGCTGCTGCTGTTGTTCTTGACATTTCCAGACCTCTCTATATTTTAAAGAAAAAAATCTCAAAGCTGTTTACAACACATTATAAAACAATCCAGAATATTTTATTTTATTTATTTATTAGATTCTACACCACCCTTCATCATTATTGAAGAAAGGCAAATAGCAAATATACATTTCAAAGCAACCTAAAGCATTATCTTAAAGATTTCAAAATTAAACATTACAAAGGAAGTCGACTACGGAATGCACATTAATGCAGCAAAATTAACTCTCTCTCTCTCTCTCTCTCTCTCTCTCTCTCTCTCTAACACATTTCAAAACAAAACACTACTAAAGGAAGTCAAATACAAAACACACATTTCAAACAGCATAATTAGCAAGAGGATTAAATATTATTGTGAAGCACAGAATATATTTGCTGCTCTTGCTGCCCATCCTGCCAATGATGGTTCATGGAAGACAGCGGCTGTGGAAGGTCAGGCTCAGTGACCTGGGTCTCCACTAAGAGACAGTCAAGATGGCTGAGATGTATGTTTGTGTGGAATCTTTTCACTGTTGACAATATGCTGACTCTATATATCCATGCTTTCTGGGACTTGCGTTAAACTGCTGCAGCAGAATATGAAACCTTAGCAAATCTGTTTGTGATCTATGGAATTTCAGACAGGTTTGAGATACCCTCCTTCTAAAGTCTCTTAAAACACACACACACACGTTTAATGACTGAGCTGTTATGAACTCAGTAGCTTCCTATTATTTCCCAGGTAGACAACACCAAAAATATTATCTCCTATTGATTCCCCCCAGTTATTACTCAGAAATGCCTGACTATATAATCCAACTCAGTCTTCAGGGCCATGGCACTGACAGCTAAAAGCCGGCAGTTGGCATTGTGAAAGAAACACAAGGAGAAGCCATGGGGGACCGGATTGGGTGAGGGGAGAGAGAAAAATGAATACCATGCTGCATTATTCATATAGTTCTGCTACCAGACTCACTGGAATTTCATTACCTTGCACAGGGTTTGTGTATATGCACGCCCAGGCAGAAGGTTTGGGAGAACAACAAAACAACGAATAGCTCTGCAGACATAGTTATAGAGGCAAAGAGTGGAAGAACCCCCTCCCTGTACCCCAAATTTAAATGCAGAGGGTGCAGTTAAGGGTTCCCTCTGCCCCTTAGGGTGGAACTTGCATGTAAGGGCCATAGCTCAATGGTAGAGCATTCACTTTGCATGCATGCTCATGTTCTGAAGGTATCCCTACCTTCTGCTGTAAAATCCTCCAGACTGGAGACTGTGGAATAGTTAAGGAAATACTCCGAGGAGAGAAGACTGAAGCCACTCTTGAGAGGAATGCTATGAGGAACCAAGCAGCTTCAGAAACATTGGAGAGCCAGGAATGTATATATTATGCCCCACTAAACTCTGGTGTGATTTGGAGTGGCTCGCACAATCTACCCTGGCCAACTCATGCAACAAATTCAAGTTGACACATAGGGCAGTCAGTTGTGGTTGTGGGAGGCAGAGAAACAAACAGCTTGAAAATGAGGAAACCAGGGACTCTAGGATTTCTCAGATTAATGTCAAGGAGCAATATGTGGCTGATGAGAACCTTTACTTCATTTGTGGTGGGTGGGTGGACACTGGAGGGGTATAACCCTATATGTTTTTGGTGCGTTGTGAGTTTTGCGATGGGAGGAGAAGTTGGCTGCTAGACACCCAGAGGAGCTCTGGGAAGGGCTGACAAGGTCCTTAGCTTGCAGTTACTACCATACCACAAATAGGTGATATTACTGTGCTTAAACATTGACTTTGGTCCATGGAAGTTGGTCCTTTTGGGTGGATGAGACACTGCCCCATGAACCTTAGTTGGCCTTCAGCCAACACCCACCTAGCTGCTTTCTTACTTGCATTGAATCCAGGGATGGCATGGGCTGTCAACATGCTCCTCCTTAGCCTCAGTAATGTCCTT